GAGCCCGCTGCCTAGTGCTTTCATGTTTGCCTTCTCGTTTCAACCCAGTGGAGTAATTTGGAGAATGCAATTATTTTATACTTGATGAGAAATGTGGAGTCTGCAAAAATAAAGAGATAACAAGCCTGCCTTTTCTCAACTGGCTCAACCATGGATGCTGGAGCGGGGCTTGGGGCCATCTTCAGCCACTCTGCCTCACCCTGCTCTCTGGCCTCCAGACTTTCCCTGGCTCTGCTCTGCCGCGGACCCTCCTCATGCACCTGGCAATGCCGGCTGTGCGCTGGGAGCAGCACAGCTGCCCTGATTCCACAGCTCTCCACTCAGCTCATAGTGAGGCAGGCAGCTGTCCTCCCTCCCTGCCTCGTCTTCCTCGAAATTCACAGGAACATGTCTGGTTTTGCTTCGTGGCCTCCCCGGCAGTACAGCCTTTTGGCCTCTGTTGCTGGGGGAGGTGATCCGGGCAGCTGAGGCTCGTTTCTTTTTCTTTAAAAATTTTTATTGTGGTAAAACATATATAAAATTTATCCTATTAACCGTTAAAAATTAAAATGTTATTGGGATAAAATACATGGAACATAAAATTTGCCATTTTAACCATTTTTAAGTGTACAATTTAGTGGTATTAATTATCATTAATATTACACGCAAGTAAAATTTGGCTGAAGATAACTCAAAAACAGTTGCAGCAGTATGTTGACAGGGAGCTGCCAGAAATTCAGGCTGGATTCAGAAGAGGACATGGAACAAGGGATATCATTGCTGATGTCAGATGGATCTTGGATGAAAGCAGAGAATACCAGAAAGATGTTTACCTGTGTTTTATTGACTAACCTGTGTTTTATTGACTATGCAAAGGCATTCCACTGTGTGCATCATAACGAATTATAGATAACATTGTGAAGAATGGGAATTCCAGAACACTTAATTGTGTTCATGAAGAACCTGTACATAGACCAAGAGATAGTCGTTCAAACAGAACAAGGGGATTCTGTGTGGTTTATAATCCAGAAAGGTGTGGATCAGGGTTGTGTCCTTTTACCATACTTATTCAGTCTGTATGCTGAGCAAATAAGCCAAGAAGCTGGACTATATGAAGAAGAATGCGGCATCAGGATTGGAGGAAGACTAGTTAACAACCTGTGATATGAAGATGACACAACCTTGCTTGCTGAAGGTGAAGAGGATGAAGTACTTTCTGATGAAGATCAAAAACTACCACCCTCAGTATGGATTACACCTCAACATAAAGGAAACAAAAATCCTCACAACTGGACCAATAAGCAACATCATGATAAACGGAGAAAAGATTGAAGTTGTTGAGGATTTCATTTTACTTGGGTCCACAATCAATGCCCATGGAAGAAGCAGTCAGGAAATCAAAGGACATATTGCATTGGGCAAATCTGCTGCAAAAGACTCTTTAAAATGTTGAAAAGCAAAGATGTCACTTTGAGGACTAAGGCACCTAACCAAGCCATATTTTCAATCACCTCCTATGCATGCGAAAGCTGGACAGTGAATAAGGAAGACCGAAGAAGAATTGATGCCTTTAAATTATGGTGTTGGTGAAGAATATTGAATATACCATTGACTGCCAGAAGAACGAACAAATCTGTCTTGGAAGAAGTACAGCCAGAATGCTCCTTAGAAGCAAGGATGGTGAGGCTACATCTCACATACTTTGGACATGTTATAAGGAGGGACCAGTCCCTGGAGAGGAACATAATACTTGGTAAAGTAGAGTGTCAGCAAAAAAGAAGACCCTCAGTGAGATGGACTAACACAGTGGCTGCAACAGTGGGCTCAAACATAGAAAGGATTGTGAGGATGGCACAGGACGGGGCAGTGGTTTGTTCTGTTGTACGTAGGGTCGCTATGAGTTGGAATTGACTTGATGACACCTAACAGCAACAAACAATTCTATTCATAACCTTGTGCAACCATCACCACCATCTACTTTCAGAACTTTTTCATCACCCCAAACAGAAATTCTGTACCCATTTAGCAGTCACGACCTATCTGCCTCTTCCTACCCCCTGATAACCTCTAATCTACTTTCTGCCTCTATGCATTTGCCTATTCTGATATTTCATGTAAGTGGGATCATACGATATGTGTCCTTTTGTGTCTGACTTATTTCACTGAGCATAATGTTTTCAAGGTTCGTCTATGTCATAGCATGTATCAGGACTTCATTTCTCTGTATGGCTGAGTAATACTCTATTGTATGGATAGATCACATTGTGTTTTATATTCATCTGTTGCTGAACCCTTGGGTTGTTTCCACCTTCTGATGCTTGGCTCATTTCTTAACACAGACCAGGATACTGCTACCTTACTGCCCCTTGGAACCAAATTGGCTGAAGCACAGTGTTTTTCCCCCCTCCTTCCACCTCCTTCTGTCCTTTTCTCTTTCTGATTTTCCAGCTGCAGTAAACCTCTCTAACGTGGTGCAGCTCGCACACAGAGCACGGCCTCGTGCGGGAGGCCATGAGGATTTCAGTTCAGGATGCACTTTAAACATTTGCTTGAACATTTAATGAAAGGCTGGACTTTACACATTCCTGTCCTTATAATGGAAACCCTGGTGGTGTGGTGGTTAAGAGCTACGGCTGCTAACCAGAGGTCAGCAGTTCAAATCCACCAGGCACTCCTTGGAAACCCTATGGGTCAGTTCTGCTCTGTCCTGTAGGGTCACTATGAGTCGCAACCGACTCGACAGCAATGGATTTGTTTTTTTTTTTTGGTGAGTCCTTATAGTTGGTTCTGATTCAGCAGCTGGCCTACTTTAAACACTTTTTTTCAGCTGTGAAAGTAACACATAAACTTTCTCAGAATCAGTAGAACTAGTGTATGTTTGTGATAAAGTATAGAAAACCATAAAGAGAGAAATAAAATAATGTGTGATTGCTACCTACAATTACATGTAATGCACATATTTTTAAATAAAATTGGCATTGAATGAGTATACAGTTTTTTTAAAAAATATTTTTATAATTTTTTTTATTGTAGTTTAGGTGAAGTTTACATTTCAAGTTAGTTTCCCGTACAAACATTTATACATACATTGTTATGTGATCCTAATTGGTCTTCCCATACTGTGACAGCACCCCTCCTTTCCACCCCGATTCCCCATGTCCATTCAGCCAGCTCCTAACCCTCTCTGCCTTCCCAACTCACCTCCAGACAGAAGCTGCCCGTTTAGTCTTGTGTATCTACTTGAGCTAAGAGGCACACTCCTCATGAGTATCCCTTTATGTCCCACAGTCCAGTCCTATCCCTATCTGAAGAGTTGGCCTCAGAAATTGTTTTAGTTCTAGGCTGATAGAGAAATCCAGGGGCCATGCTTTCTGGGGTTCCTCCAGTCTCAGACCATTAAGTCTGGTCTTCTTACTAGAATTTGAGTTCTGCACCCCACCTTTCTCCTGCTCCATCAGGGACTCTCTGTTTTGTTCCCTGTCAGGGCAGTCATTGGTGGTAGCCGGGCACCATCTAGTTCTTCTGGTCTCAGGCTGATGAAGTCTCTGGTTTATGTGGCCCTTTCTGTCTCTTGGGCTAATACTTTCCTTGTGTCTTTGGTGTTCTTCATTCTCCTTTCGAGTATACAGTTTTATATGCTATTCTTTTCACCTATAATATCATGATTTCTTTTCCAGCATTAAATCATCTTTGAAAATATGAGTTTTTGTTTTCATTTTGTATGATAAACGATAGTTTATTTAATATTCTCTTGTTGTTGAACGTTTGGTTGTTTCTGATTTTTCTCTATTAAAAATAATGACCCAATGAATATTTTTGTACATACGTTTTTGCCTCCATCTTTGATTCTTTTCTTTGAATAGGGTCACAAAAGTGGGATTATTGGGGCAGAGATGGATGTGGATGTTTTTAAGGTTCTAAATGTATACGGGAGCCCTGGTGGCACAGTGGTTAAGAGCTTGGCTGCTAAGCAAAAGGTCGGCAGTTCGACTCTACCAGCTGCTCCTTGGTAACTCTTTCGGGCAGTTCTACTCTGTCCTGTAGGTTCGCTGTGAGTTGGAATCGACTTGACGGCAACAGGTTCGTTTTTTGTTTGTTTATGAAGACAAAGGACAAAATTGCCTTTCGGCTACTCTGATTTATAACCTTTCAGCAGGGTGAAAGTTTATTCTTTTCACTGTGTTTCATCAGCATTGAGTTTTATCTGAAATTTTTTTTTTTTACTTTGGAATTGGCTTTTAAAATCTAAGACCTCGTACCTAAATATTTAAATAATCATAAAAACTCAGGGAGAGACAGAGACGCCAGTACTGGAAAGATGAAGATGGTGGGGAAATCAGGGTCAGACTTCGTGGGTTGAGTGGTCGTTGGGAAACCATTGGCTCTGCTGTCTTCTTTCTGTAGATGTCTTTGTTCTAGAGCCGTGGAGAAAGGCTGGCTTTCTCTTCACCTTCTCAGCTGCCTGATCTGCACCAAGAGCTGTTGTCCCCTCCCCAAGGAGCAAACATTCCGGGGGGACCTCTAATCAGGACAGGGACTTTTACTTGTGGGGCCCCAGCCCAAGTTGTGTTTAGTTTGGTTGTTGCCCTTATATGCTTGAAAGTATTCCTGTGTGTGTTCCAAGAGGCTCAGGGTAAACTTGACAAAATAAGAGATAAGGTAGTTGGCTGTGTTCTTGTTAGAGAAGAATTTAAGTGATAAAGGGAAACCAAGCCGAAGGGGAACAGATGTTACTTTGCATTTTGTAATCTGTGTTCTTTGAATTGCTGAGTTATAAAATTTGTTCCTGGAGGAGGTTTGGGATAGAATTTGGACCGTAAATGAAATTTGCGTTTGTTTAATCAGTTTAGCCATTCGGCTGAAACGGGGTGGCTTTAATTTAGCGCCTGGCTGAGTGTGTGCCTGTGCTGCCTGTGGGCCCCTCACCCTCGCATGAGACCTCGGGTGGGTGAGAGCCCTCTGGGCTCCCAGCTGTGGTCGATCTCCAGGATAATCTCTATGTGGCCCTCTCATTGCTTCAGGTGATGCCCTTCGAAAGCCTCGCCTTCAGAAGCCTGTCACCTGGTACTTGGACGATTTGTTCTTCAACCTGTACCCGTCCCTGGAGAGATTTGAAGAAGAACTTCTGGAACTCCTCAGCAGTGATCGCTTCCGGGAGGTACTGCCTCGTGTCATGGGAACTTCTGCAAAGTCTGAATAGTGGAGATGCACACGCAGAGCAGGTGGGGATGGCTTCTGGTGCCTAAATCCCCTGAAGACTGGCAGTCTGGCCGTGGATTTGTGGTCCTGTTTTTCCCACCTTTTGGTGGCTGAAAGGGACACTGTTCTGTCCCTGATTTGCTATTTAAAGTAGATATTAGAGGGCTGGACTTCCTGGATGTTGCAAATGGTTAATGCGCTCGACTACTAACTGAAAGGTTGGTGGTTCGAGTCCACCCAGAGGTGCCTTGGAAGAAAGCCCTGGCAATCTATTCCCAAAAAACCAGCTGTTGAGAACCATGTGGAGTGCATTTCTACTCTGACACACATAGAGTCATGAGTCAGACCCAGTGCTCGGCCATCCCCACTAGAAGCCGAGCCCCTGGCGATGCCTCCTGTCTGCTGCCTTCACTTCTGGCAGTGACGAAGGCACCCTTCTCCTGAGACTAGGTCCTTCATCTGGTCCAGATTGGTCCTTATTTAACGTGGATTTTGACATATCTTGAAGCAGTCCTCATATAAAAGTAAACGAAGTTACCACGTGAGCGTAGGGAAACCCATGAAACAATCCACATTTACATTCAAGGAGATGACTAGAAATCTCAGTCATTTTGTGCTATAAAGGCAGTTTTCTGGAAGGGTGCTCTCTCTGACACTGTCAGGTTTGGCTGCTGTGTGAGCAGGCTCCTGTAGGCAGCCAACACTTCCCCTGGAGACCTGTGTGGACAGTGAGTGGCTGCTCCTCCCCACTGCTTTTCAATACAGAATTTGTCGTCCATGGTTCAGAGATGCCTGGCAGGGGCATTTGTGAGGGGATTCACACATCGACTAGGCAGTGACCCACAATAAGAAGATGCTATCTGTTGTGGAAAGTCTCTGGCTCGTGCAAGCTGTTGTGCTTGACTACTCACTAAACGCTGGCAGTTTGGACCCACCCAGTGACACCATGGAAGAAAGTCCTGGCGATCTGCTTCTATAACGATTACAGGCAGGAACACGCTATGGCACAATTCTATTCTGCAACCCATGGGGTTGCTAGGAGTTGGAATTGACTCGACAGCAATGGCTTTCTCTGTTGCGATCCAGTGGCACGTCTCCACGCAGCAGAGTGTGGCGAATGCTTCCCGCTGATGGTCCACCCCTCTACGTGAGCCATGCTCTGCTGTTTCTCTCCATCCACCGACTAGTCACTGGCTTGCAGTTTGTAAAGCACCCTGTTAGGGAGTTGGGTGAGTTTATCTCTAGGGCTTTTTCCACCCCTAACAATTAAGGATTTTCTTGGTCTTTCTGGATAGAAGCTGTCTTGTTGGCCAAGGGATACTTGAAAAACCTTTGTGGGTTTGGGGGACTTGTTGGCTTTTTCCAGGCAACAGTCTTTTCTTCATCTGGAAAAATGGGCCCGATCAATTATCACAGTTGCTGCTAGAGTAGATTCTGTCCAGCTGGCTTTTCCATTCTCAACAGAAGAGGGGACACAAGTGTGAGGTGTTCTGCACACTTCGCATGTTGCTCTGTGCCGTGAGTGCTTAGATCTCCGCCTGCTCCTTTGCTGATGGGATGGAGGGAGCCGCCTCCAGACAGGAGAGACGAGAGCACCCCTGTGTGTCATCTCAGCTGCTAAGGAAGGGCTGTCCCGGGGACGGTGATGGCAGAGCTTGTCTGAGGACACACCTCTTCTTGTCCCCGCTCCGAGCACAGGGGAGGGGCTTCACTTGGTGACTCTTGAAACACAGAGAAAGAAGCTTTACCAGCAGAGGGCTGAGAGACCAATATGGGCAACATCCTGTCAGTACTCCATGTTACCTTTCTCTCTCACTGTTGTTTATTGTGAAGTATACCTACAGAAGAATGAATAAAACATTCATGCACAGTATTATGAATGAGTAAAAAGGGAAGAACACCCTGTAACCAGAACCTGCAGAACCCCTCCTGGGTCTCTTCCTGATCATACCCGCCTCCCTGTCCCTGCTACCCTGCCCCACCTGCCTGCCCCCCGCCCCCCAGTCTTTTACGGTAATCACTTCTTGCTTTTCTTTATGGTTTTACTACCTTTATATTTATCCCCAAGCAATATAGCTTGCCTGGTTTTAACTTTTATTTAAATGAAATCATACTTTTCTTTTATGTCTTTTTTCCCTAAGCATGGTGCTTGTGGATTCATTCTTACAATTGGTGTAGTTCTAGTTTGTTGATTTTCTTTGCTGTATAGTATTCTGCCGTGTGAGAACACCACAGTTCGTTGATCCATTCTACTGTTGATGGCCTCCTGGGTTGTTTTCTGTCTTTGGCCAGTATGAGCCTGCTGTGAACATTCTTGAACATGTATCCTGGTTATTACTTAGCAGAATCTTGAGTTGTGTTTTAGTTATCTAGTGTTGCCATAACAAAAATGCCATAAGTGGTGGCTCTAAAGGACAGGCATTTATTGTCTTGACGTTCTGGAGGCTAGAAGTCCAAATCAGGGCATTGGCTGTAGGGGAGGGTCCTTCTTTGTGTCTTTCAGCTTCTAGTTGTTGCTGTTAGATGCGGTCAAATCGGTTCTGTGCCATTGGGTTTAAGACATGCACAATTTAGTCGGGGCCAGGGTCCCTGACCTCGCCCTGACCTCACTTCGCGGAGTCCCTCTGCACTGCATTTGGTCTGCATTACAGTCGTGAATGGTCTGCTTGTCCCTACCTGGGGACCTCTGAGCATGGAGCTCCCGTTTCCGTATGTTCTTCCAACCCAGCTGCCCTGCCCGTCCCGCAGCAACGCCGTACTCTGCCGGGTGCTTGGCAGCACCTCACACTCTTTGTCCCCGGACACGATCCCTCCCTGAGCGCATGGGGGTATTTTCGTACTGGCCTGTTGTCTCCTTCTGTCGAATGCTTTTCCGTGAGGACAGGGATGTTGTCTGTTACGTTTGCTCCACACACTATGTGCAGAGAACAGTGTTTGGCACAAACCAGTGCCAGTTGCCATCGAGTTGACTCTGACTCATAGTGACCCCATGTGTGCCCCAGTAAAACTGCTCCATAGAGTTTTCAATGGCTGATGTTTTTGGTAGTAGATCGCCAGACCTTTCTTCCGAGGTGCCTTTGGGTAAACTTGAACTGCCAACTTTTAGGTTAGCAGCTGAGTGCATTAACTGTTTGTACTACCCAGGGACTCCATTTGGCACATAGCAGGTATTTAATATTTACTTGTTGTGTGAATGAATGATTCAATCAGTTAGTACTCATTCTAGTAGTCTATATAGTTGGCCAATTTCTAATTACTTCTACGTATATATAAATCTGAGATGGATTTTTTTTTTGTTCTCTACTCATTTTTGAAAATGTAGTTCCACATGATCTGGCCTTATATGCAATATAAACACAAAGTGGAGGAAAGGATTCAAATGGAAATACACATTTTCTTGGTGTGGTTCCGGCTGTTTTCTTATTGCTGAGACTGGCGGTGTGAAGGTAGAGAAGTTTTAAGAGTATCCTTGTCGAATTTTATACATTCTCATAAAAATCATTTTATTATGTATTTTTACTGTCTTTGTATTCTTGTTCCTATCCCAATGACAGTTCCCTCTTATCCCTATAGTTGTATTTTCATTTTCCAAAGACTCATGGGCTGAATTCAGGTTTGTTCAGCTTGATTAATGGACAATGAAGAAATCTTGAAAATTCAAGGATCATTTTGCAAAGATCACATAATTTTATAAACAATAATAGCCTGGAGGACTATCCTTGCTCGTTTGTTAAGAGTGCCTGTGTATTTTTTTGGGGAGATGAAACACTTTAATATCCAGTGATCACTTTGGGGCAGGTTCCATTTTTATTGGTTTATGACTTATTGTCTAAATATGCTCTCTCTCCCTACGTTCTTTCCACCCCAGGCCTCTAATTTGAGTACAGGAGGGGGACTGATACCTGGAACTTGACAAGCTCTGCCTCCAGGAGCTTCTTCATTATTGTCCTCTGACCCAGCATGGGAGTGGGCTCCAAGACCTTGGAGCCTGAGACCCAACCTGCTGAAGGGACTGGAGCCTGTGTTCACTAGCTTGCTGTATCTGAGAATTGTCAGCTCAGCCCTGGAAACCTAGGACGAGAGTTGGGTGATCCAAGCATCTAGGGGTCTGTGGAGAAACTAATCGCACTGAGAAGATCAGGCTTATGTCAGAGGCCCCCAAACTAGAAAATGCACCAAGGCTGCTAGTGGCGATGGGATGATTTCTCCGTCATTCCCTTGGTTGGGCTCATTTGACCCAGCACCCCCTCTGATCTGGAAATCATCTGTAACATCTCTTATAGTCTCTACTCTCTTGGGACTCTGCTGGGGTACCCCTCTGCCCTGCCAGGGGCTCATTCTGGCCCACATGTGCCTTTCCAGGGGAACAGCCCTGGGGACAGTGGCACCCTGGAGATCCGGGAGCGGCGCCTGTGTGTGGGCGTGCACAATGGGCTGGCCTTTGTGCAGAGGCCACAGGTGGTCGTGCTGGTGCCTGAGATGGAGGTGGCCCTGACACGCTCCGCCAGCTTCAGCAGAAAAGTCAACTCCTCCTCCAAGAGCAGGTATCTAAATGAGGGTCGAGCCCTAGCCGCAGGGAGTCGAGAGGTTGCGGGATGCAAGGAGGGGTCAAGATGCAGTTAGCGATTCGGCACGGAGGTGTGGACCAACTACGTGGGGTCTTCCCTGTAGTCTTGTTTGTCCTCCTACTGAGTTCACAATTAGGAACGCATCTCAGGGTTGTAAGGTTGCAAAGAAAGTCCGATTTGTGCTGTGATAGTTTTGCAGTTAGCATCACAGAAGCTTGTAGCATGTGGCTGCTGAGAGTCTCTGGAGACCCATGTGTGGTCTCTTCCACATGCGCCCCATGACTGATTTCTCATGTGATGGAGAGGCAGAGTGATGTCTGTCCTGAGTAACCCAGTGCTCCCAAATTACATGTTACAGACAGCCCTGAGGAGGCCAGGCTTCCCTTCCTCTCTCCTGGTGCTGGACAGGCGAGCCCTGCCAGCAAGGGCCCCCTTCTGTGGTGCCCTCCCTGGAGGCTCGGTCTTATCACTCTATCAGCCTGCACACAAGCTCTGTCAATGTAGAAAAAGTGTTGATCGTGACACTTAAGAAAACACTGGTTTAGGGAACAACCCAGAAGTACTTGGCAGCGTAGTACCAGTGGACACGCTTGCTGGCTGCTGCCTGGGTGTCCTGGTGCCCTCGGGTGCTCCCCTTTGTTGTCTCTCACAGGATGGGAGTGCGCGCAGGGCACAGTGGGGCCACCGCTCTAATGTGCTTCTGCTGTATGTTTCTGATCCAGCTCTGGAAACCAAGCTCTGGTTTTGAGAAGCCGCCTTCGACTCCCTGAGATGGTCAGCCACCCAGCGTTCGCGATCGTCTTTCAGCTGGAGTACGTGTTCAATGCCCCCGCAGGACTGGACGGCAGTGTAAGAGCGGCCTTTTTATATTCACGTTTCGTCTGGCGATGGGCCCTAGACCCAGAGTATGAGTAGCCAGCATGAACATTTCTTCCCATTAAAAGCATGGTAATTGTTATTAGCAATATGGATAGCAACTGTGGAATATGATACTAGAAAATGCTTCTTCCTAATGATAGCTTTGTTATAATCATTTCCCGTTTTTATGGTAATAGTGCATTCTGCTGGCTGATAGTAATAGATAAATAGCCCAATAGACATCATGTATCATAATAGCATTAATTCATAATTATCTAATCTATACATGTTTTGAAAAATGAGGACATTTTAATGTATTTTTTCATATGGTATTAAGTGTAGTAAAGCTTTAATGTGTACAAGTGGAAATATTTTCTTATGTGAACTTTACATACGCCTGTGTCATAACTGGAGCCCTGGTGGTGCAATGGTTAAGAGCTACAGCTGCTAACCAAAAGGTCGGCAGTTCGAATACACCAGCTGCTCCTTGGAAATCCTATGGGGCAGTTCTACTCTGTCCTACAGGGTTACTGTGAGTCAGAATTGATAGCTATTGGATGGCAATGTTTTTTTTTTTTACCTTCGTGTCATAACTAAGGCACCTTGGTGGCACAATGGTTTAAGTGCTCAGCTGCCAACCGAAAGGTTGGTGGTTCAGACCCACCCAGCGGCTTCACAGGAGAAATACCTGGTGATCTGCTTCTGTATAGATAACAGCCTAGAAAACCGTATAGGGCAGTACTGCTCTGTCGCTTGGAGTCACTGTGAGTCAGAATTGACTCGGTGGCACATAACAACAACATGTTATGACTAAGAATTTATAGTATTTGACAGGGAGGGATATAATATGTAGACAGTTCTGTGTCATCAAAGGGGTCCCTGGTTGGAGCAAACAGTTAAGTGTTCAGCCCCTAACTGAAAGGTTAGTGTTTCAAACCCACCCAGAGGCACCTTGGAAGAAAGCTTTGGTGATCTACTTCTGAAAAATCAGCCATTGAAAACCCTGTGGAGTACAGTCCTACTCTGACACACGTGGGGTTGCCATGAGTGGGAGTCCACTCAGCGGCAACTGGTTTGGTTTTTAGTTATGCCATCAGTGTAGATTCTTTGGAAAACCTGCATCCTGCTATTCATAAGTTCCAGTTTTATGTCTGAAAAGGTTTTGAAAAGCTTTAACAAATAAATTAAAAAGAAAAAAAAAGCCACTGTGGCATCATCTGTGGGATCTGGTCTGCCGTCGTTGTTACTCCTTTTAATGCTTACGGAAGGATGGAAGGAACTAAGCGTGGTGAGCTTCAGGAAGGAGAATGGGAGAGTGTAGCACATATGCCATTGTATGTTCTGGTCTAGCTGGCAGCCGTGTACTGACCTCTCCAATGACCACACCTCAAGTCTGTATAATTTAGAGTCCTACTAGGTGAGAAAATTTAGAGGCAGATATTATTGTTACTAGAAGGTCCATGGGTGGAGCAAATGGTTTGCTCTTGGCTACTAACTGAAAGATTGGCAGTTTGAACCCATCCAGTGGCACAATGGAAGAAAGGCCTGGTGGTCTGCTTCTGTAAAGGTTGCAGCCTTGAAAACCCTATGGAGCTCATTTCTACTCTGTAACACACGGGGTTGCCATGAGTTGGAATCGACTCATTGGCAATGAGTTTGGTTTTTTGGTTTATTCTTCCTAGAGCCTAATGTGTGGCCACATTGACTTTCAAGAAGCTGTTGCTCCCAGTTCTGCTTTTCTCTGTTTATTACCAGCAATTTCAGTGAAAAAGCAACTCTGCGTGGATGCGCTTGGGGAACCCCAGGAGCTGGGGCACTCAGGTTGGGCGTGGGACTTCCCTGAGAGGGGTGGAGTTTCTGGGGCACCAAGTAATCCCGAGGGGGGAGTGGGTCTGCAGGGCGCCGTGTGGGGGCAGCTCCTGTTGTGGCCCCCAGCATCAGGAGGCAGAGGAGGAGCCTGCTGGGGAGCAGTGAGAGCCTGGTGCCTCGTGGGGGCTCGGGATCTCTCTGGAACCCTCATTTACATTTAGATAACACCCCCTCAAGAACGTTAATTACAATTTACTTGCAATTATGAAGTCTTTATTCTGAAACTGTTATGTTTATTATCGTTTTTTAACTCTTTATCGCAATGCTAACCAGCGGCAGGTGGTTTAGCTCTGCGCTGCCACTCACGATGCCTTTGGAAGGTGGCTGTGCAGTAGTTCCTGAATTCCTTTTGATGTGGTGGTTTATCTTAACATGGAATATTGGATTCTGTTGACTGTCATCATGTATACTCTCTTCAGTATCGTCTGGAGAGGAAATGTCCCTATGTACGAAATGATCTTCCATACAAATTACTTGCTGTATGGAACAATGAGACGTGTTAAGCATTCAACTGGGGAAGCCAGAATCAGAGCCTCCCCACTGTGAAGGGGCTCAGATGTTGGAGAAGGAAGCACTGATGACTGGACCTGTGTGGGCTTTTGTTTGTCCTCTGAGGAGTCTGCGGTGGGGTAACTGAGAGGCGGGGCCTCCCTGGAAGTCAGCGCTGGGCCTTGGGAGGTTGGGCCTCACTTCAGCGGGTTCCTGGTCCTTAACAGTCCAGTAACCAGAACCAGAACCAGTTGCTGCCAAGTCAGCTCTGACTCATGATGACCCCAGGTGTGTCAGAGTAGAACTGTGCTTCATAGGGTTTTTAATGGCTGATTTTTCAGAAGTAGATCACCAGGACTTTCTTTTGAGGTGCCTCTGGATGGACTTGAACTGCCAACTTTTTGGTTCACAGCCGAGTGTGTTAACTGTTTGCGCCACCTGGGAACTCTTTAACAGTTCCTTTGGGGCCGTCATTCTTGAATTGGGACGAGGCCTTTTCAAACCTATTCATATAGTCAGGCTGCAGATTTCTTTCTGCCTTTTCTTTCCTTTTTTAAAACCTTACGTGATGGAAAGTTTCAAACATGTACAGAAGTAGACTGGATTGTGTAATGAACCCCCATCAGCCTCAACAATTACTGACTTCACCTGTGTCCTCACCCACAACCCATTCTGAAGCAAATTTCAGACATATCTCATCTGTAAACATTTTAGCATGTACATTTCTTTCTTTTTGTAAAACACCTTTTTATCATGGAAAATTTCAAACATATTCACAACTAGAAAGAAGCATATGGTGAACCCTGTGTACCCATCACTCAACTTTACAGGTCATCAGCTCGTGGCCACGCTTGCTCATCCCTTTCTCTTTCACCTGTCTTCACCCCTCCCAGGCAATTTTAGAGCAAATCCCGGACATTGTGGCATTTCTTTCGTCTATCAGTATTTCCGTGTGTATCTCCAAAAGATTGGGGCCTAAAAACATAAGTTTAATACCATTGTTGTTGTTGTTGGTTGTGTGCTGTTGAGTCGATTCTGACTCATAGTGACCCCATGTACCCAGTAGAACTGCCCCATAGGGTTTTCTAGGCTGTAATCTTTACGGGAGCAAATTGCCAGGTCTTTCTCCTGCTGAGCTGCTGGGTGGGTTCGAACTGCTTAACTTTCCATTAGCAGCCGAGTGCTTAACCATTGCACCACTAGGGCTTCTTTAATATAATTATCATCTCTAAAAAAAATTAAATTTCTCAATATCAGCAAATATCCAGTCAGTCTGGGTGTATGTTTTGTAAATATTTTACTTAATCAGAAATGGACACACCAAACAAGTGTCCTCTTCTCTGAGAATGTTTGCGGAGTGACGTCTGCACGTGTGAACTGAGCTGCCTGTATAGTGTCTCCTGGCTAGACGAGGGTGTCCTGAGTTCATCTTTGACTGTGTGATTTATTCTCAGGGTGGCCTTGCTGAATTTAGCATGTCGTGTGTTGCTTTATTCCTAATCCCCGAAGAACCAAAAGGGGCCAGGCTTCTGGCAGTGGTTTCCTTGGCTTCATGCTTCAGACAAGGAGCGAAAAGTCTCAGTCTCCCATGGCCCTTTGTAGAACAAGTCATCATTAAACGGTATGTCCAGTTTGGTGAGAGACCGTCCGAGCTAATGAGAACACTGGCTGAACGTTGTCCCCAATTTATGCCAAACACCTGAGTCTGAGTGGATGTTTTGGTCCTGAAGATTTTGTAGTTTTTAAAAACTAGCTAGAAAAAAAGTTTTGAGAAGATACATCCATTTTTTTAAAAAAATATTTCATTGAATTTTTGCATCTTCTAGTTAGCCAAAACAACAAAAACCTTTTGGTTGTAATTTGTTTTTTGATTAGCTGGGAAGAGCCAAAGGAAATAGCTCCTTTTCTGCAATTTCAAGGACATGGGGACAGTGCAGCCGTGTTATGTCACCAGAGGGACGCTGTAAGGTGTGCAAATACGGGCGCCATAGTGTTTACTGATGGACTGGATGCATGTAGAGCAAGCTTCCCAAACATAAAAGAATGGGATGGATGAAGGCTAAGCTGTAGAAATACCCGGACCCAGTATCTTTGGCTACATTTTTATGTCAGAGTAAGTACAAATCTCCCAGAGGTTTGCAGGGGTGAAAAACATTCCTTTTTTTGTGGGTCACGTGGAACAATAACTCGCCCCCTCAAATCTCTGACCAGTAAAGTTCTAACTAATTTGTAAGTTGGCTAATGTTCTTTGAACAAAACACATTCACTTGATAAGAGTTTGAGTGCTTTCCGTGTGCAGGGAACTGGCCTAGGAAACACCTGTGCGGCATGTTTCACACATTCTGTGTATGTCTAGGATTTACTCCTAAGATTACCTAAAATTAAATTTCCTACAACATGGAAGGAAATATTGATGTCTTGAGGGTTTTCTTGAGATGTTTCAGAGGTGGAAATAACCCTGACCTCCTTCTCTGGATGAGGGGACATCGTCTGATAGAGTGCTGGAAGATGAGTCCCTAGGTTGAAAGGCACTCAGAATACACAGTGGCCACAACGATCACGAAGACAGCGCAGGACTGCGCAGCATTTCGTTCTGTTGCGCATGGTGTCTCCATGAGTCAGAGCCGACTTGA